TTATTATTTATATAATTTTACATATTAATATTATATAAAATAGGATAAAAATAATATTTTAACATTTATTTTTTGACACAATTCAATGTCTTGTAAATTTTTTCCCACATTTTTTTTGAAAGAAAAAGTTTTTCTTAACTTTTTTATATATAATTTTTTTTGACAACTTTTATATTAATTTTTTTATGTTAATTTTTACATATAAAAATACTAATTTAACAAAATTTAAATAAAATTTTACTACATTTTTTTTTTTTTGCAATATTTTTCCCGTAACGAAACACACCCTTCGACCTTACTTTGTGGCTGTTGCACAGCCACGCCCTGTAGAGATCAAGAAAAAATCGCCCAAGAAAAGAAAAGCAGAGACTGTTAATTACTCCATTGTTGCCAAAGAACAGTATTTTCGGCCAATCCCCAAAATTTATACGGTTGTCCATGCATTTTAATTTTATAATATGAGTGTTTAAACATTTGATTTCGATTAATCTTTTAAATATTTACAAATTACCAGATTTATATATCAAATAAAACACCATTTTCAAGATTAAGGGACCCAACTCATTGAAATTACTTATACTCAAATACCATTTTTAGTAATATTAAAGAGAGACAAAATTTTTTTTCTCAAAAAAAAGAGATTCAAAATTTCAGATACGTGTCCTCAACGTAATTTAAAAATGATTCATTAATCATTTTAACCAAATGCAGTAGGTTACCTATGTCACATTGCTTTAAATACTAAAAATGGGTGGGTTCCCGTTCCAGCTGAAAGGTGTCGGTAGGGGATTAATGACGTACCACGCGGAGAAAAATAATTTCAAGCTATATATAATACAATATATATGTTAACCTTGGTAGGTTTCCCCCAGGTAGCTCTATAAATTTGGCATCTTCCAGCCACAATTCTTAATTATAATTAAGCAGCTGAACTGTCCTGACATTCTAAGAGCTGTATTTTGATACCAGGTGTAGTCATCGGAAGACGGTAATAGTTGGCCGGCGAGAAAATTAAACAAGAGAAATGGACAAGGATATTGCAATGGCAACGGTGGCGCCCAAGGCTCCGGTGACCAGTGAAAGAAAGATTCGAGATGATTTAGAAGAGAAAATACCAAAGCCTTGTAAGTCCTTTAATTTAATTTGCCTCTTGGTCGGAATTAATTAATTACTTTGTTATTGTGTTTTTTGCATTTTTAATTTACTCGAGTTGAAATATATAATTGAAAATTTTTTATTTAAAATTTAAGTACGCCAGAGGTTTTCCTTGTTGTATAGCTCTCACTTTTTCTTTTTTCTTTTTTCTCTTTTTTTTGTGAATTTTAGATTTGGCTAGAGCTTTGGCAGCTGTTGATTCAGACCATCCGAATGGAACAATAGGACATGAAAACAATGGAATGTCTGTTCTTCAACAGCATGTATCATTTTTCGACTTAAACAAGGATGGAATCATTTATCCATGGGAGACTTATAAAGGTAACATTCATGTTTCTGCCTACCAATGATCTTACTCAAGAATAGAGGACGTTGAAGAACTGTTCATTTTTTTTTTCTTCCCTCTTTTTTGATGTTTCTAAACTGAATTTTGGTGTGGATTTGGGGGTATGAGCAGCCGGCCGTAAACTTGGTTTCAATCCAATCGTTGGTTTCCTGCTTGCAGCTGTGGTCCACATACCGTTTAGTTACCCAACACTTCCAGTAAGTTAATGCCTTTTTTGGTAAGATAAATGGCTGCAGAAGTTACTGACCAAAAAACCAAAAGCAGAACAATTTTTGTTTGTTTGTATTATTATTGTTCTTGTTAGGGTTGCGAAAAATTAAAGCTGCTTGGTAGTTTTGACAAGATTAAGATCATTCATCATGTGATTTTCATGCTGAGATCCACATGGAATCATACATGATGGATGGTCTGATCTTATTAAAACGGTTAATAATCTTGGCTTTTCGTTTTTTAATCGTTGTTATTGTTTTTTTTTTTTTTTTGTTATCAGCAAATTAAAAAATACTTTTTTCATTGGATATAGATAGATATGGGTGTGGTTATTGTTACTATTGAAATTGTAAATGACATTAAAATTTTGATTTATTTCTTAACTATTGTTTTAAAATATTAATTTTTAATTAATTTTAATTTATTACCAACTAAATATAAACTATTTTATAAGTTATTAAGTAATGGTTATAATTATTAATAATTTTATTAGGTAATGGTTAGAATTAATATTTTTAATAATAATATTTTAGAGTTTTAGTGGCTTTAACAATAATGTTAGTGACTTGGTGGCCATAACCGTGGCCAAAAGATACCCAACCCCATGTACAACTCTACATAACATTTTCACAACAAACCACCCTGTTTAATACAAATTACATATTAAAGAACAATTGATTTACTAATCTTTAATACTACCAATTAGTTTACCAAAATATCCATTTTTACGTCAAAAATTTCAAATAGAAGTGACTTAATTAATATTTTTTCAATAATATGGGTATTCAAGTTTTTAATTTGATTAATTTCATAAGTAATTATAAACTGATATATTCACATGTGGGAGGCAAAACTTCACCTTTAAAGATAGCGTATAATTCATTGAAATTATTTGTACTCAAATGGTAAGAGAGGGATTCAAATTTGCACTTTCAACCATAATTTATATTTATTTTTACCACTTGAATTAACTCCAATGAGTTATCTAATTACTACTTAGTGATTTTCTCCTTTTTTTTTAATAATTTTTTGGAAGAAGTACTTAGTGATTTTCAAATGTTATAAACCACAAGGGTCTCAATGACCTCCGGTAACATTTACTCCTCAATTCACAAGTATCTTCTCTTCTGCTAATGTTTATACTATGTACTCATATATCCTGCACTACTTTGCCATTCTTCAGTCTTGGATCCCGTCGCTACTTTTCCCCATATACATAAAAAAACATTCATAAAGCCAAGCATGGAAGTGATTCTGGATCTTTTGACTATGAAGGAAGGTACGTAATTAATACACTAAATCCATTTTTTTATTTGGAGCAAATTAAAAGATTATGCAGCAAATAAAGTAAGAAGAACTAACTATAGCTTCACCATCATTAATTTTTAATGGATTTTCAGGTTTATGCCCGTGAATCTGGAGAACATCTTTAGCAAATATGCTCGAACAGTTCCTGACAAATTAAGCTTTGCTGAGATCTGGCATATGACTCAGGAGAATCGGGTCACATTGGACATCTTTGGCTGGTTTGTATATGATATTCCTACATCCTATACTACATATATATGTGTGTTTTATGAATCAATTTTCTTAAGAAAAAGTTTAATACTGAATAACTTTTTTCTTGATTCGCTGCAGGTTAGCAACCAAAGTGGACTGGATAGTTCTGTATGCTGTTGCTAAGGACGAGGAAGGATATCTATCCAAAGAATCTGTACGAAGGTGTTTTGATGGGAGTTTGTTCGAGTTTATTGCAAAAAAGAACGAGGAAGCTGATGGCAAAAAGCATAGCTGAGTCGTATTTCATACTCTTCAAATTTGCTTAATTCATTGAAATTGCAAACTTAGTCCAACTAGGTGTAATTTGTGACTTTTAAAAGTAATAATTTATTGTGTTCCCGACAACTTAAATGGTTTGCTAATAACTTCTTATTAATAAAAATAAAATTATGAGCTTAAGTTATTGGCATGCAAAGGTAAGTTAAGAGGTGAGCGATTTCTTATTTTTTATTGTGTAATCTAACATAAAAAAAATATATTGTGTTAATTACTTGATTGATGAATAATATGTTGTTGAATTATACTCACGCATACGTACTCCACATCCAAAGATACCTTATTAATTTATGAGAGAAAGGTTAAAAATAATAATAATAATTTGTGAGAGACTGCTTTTAGCATTCTTCTATTTTGGGAATAAAAAAATAAAAAGTAAAACATTTTGATATTTAAAATATCAAGATAAAATATTTAATTTTAATTATACGATAGATTAAATTTAAATAAAATTCATATTATATTTTATCTATCATATAATTCTAATTAGATGTTATAACATTTTTAATGTTAGGGTGACCGTCCTATTTTGGAATTGCTTGGAAAATGATTTTGGAGCTAAAAGATGTGCGGCAGCCCGAATTGTCCTCAAACATTGAGGCAAAAGGACCCAATCCCTGTGCAGCACTGTTACATTACATGCGAGTGCAATCATAATGGGTCATACCATACATAAAAAATAAGATGGGCCAAATGTATATCAAAAGAAATGATGGGCCAAGTAGTAGGGTCTAAATGGCTAGCCTAGCCATACATATTTTGACATATATAAGATGGGCCGAATGCATATAAGATGGACCTAGACCTTTAGACCCTACAAACATCAGATCGTAATAATCCCTCAAGAGTCTGTCATCAACTGTACCATTTTATATATATGCTTGCATTGACTTCCCTGAATTGGTCTTATATTTTATTGGTAATTGCTCCTTGTCATTAACAATTGTGTGCATCAGATCGTAATAATCCCTCAAGAGTCTGTCATCATCTGTACCATTTTATATAAATGCTTGCATTGACTTCCCTGAATTGGTCTTATATTTTATTGGTAATTGCTCCTTGTCATTAACAATTGTGTGCATCATAATCACATGTTTTGACCTTCTGGGTGGCCTTAGATTGTCAACCTTAGCTTGATCATAATTGTTTTACTAATTATGCATGTCAATTTTTATCCCATTAATTTCTTTCAAATGCTAGCTGCACTTTCCTTGTTTGTGAGTGTGTGGGTGTGTGGGTGTGTCTTACATATACTTTTTGTTGCATGTCTATTAAGCTACCAAAGTTGGGCTTTAAAATTATATGGATACATTGGCATTATGTCATCATTGATAGAGTCTAATATTATTGGGTTTTCTTTCTTCCCGTGAAGATCAATGAAATTATTACTAGCATTTCTTTAGTTGTGGGACTTGGAACATTTCTTTGCAATCCAATGGGAATGCAGTCTTCTGTTTATTATTAGATTGAGCAATTCTCTTTATAAAGTCTTCTATCATTCTCTTTACTAATGGATTACACAACTAAGTGTTGCTTAATTTTTAATTAATCTTTGAAGTAGACTTCGGCCGCCTAGTGGTTGTTCTTCAACCCCAAGAATTTTATGCTACTCTTTTTCTTTTAATCAAGAATTGTGTACCAGACTAGATGTGATGCGAGGTCTAAAGAGAACAGCTACCCTCCTTCACATCAATATGGTACCACTTCATGAATTATTAATTATAAGGTAAAGTAGCTTTTTTTCTTTTTTTTTTTGAATGGTGTGTGAGGAAGAGGAGAGAAAGAATGCTCCATTCCTTGGTGAAGTGAATAAAGAAGGGAGAGCAAGTAATTAACAAAGAAAGAAAGCCAAAGTTGCCTCAACTAATCATTTTTGCCCCTTTCCTCAGAAGAAGAATGACATGTTACCTTTTGCTCTTAGGCCATGCTTCAAGGTTTTGACCAAAACCCCAAATTCTCTGTGCTTTCCTTAGTGGGAAGGATATTGAACTATAAGTACCAATTAAGTGACTTGTTAATCATATCTTAACTTTTGTCCTTACTATTTTTTATGTATACTTGCTAGTAATCCACATTCTTCAAAACCCCAAAAGAGTTTTTGCTTTTTGATTTAAATTTGTTTTAGAATCATTATATTGTTATAGTCAAGGGACCTAAACCCCACTTAATCCTCACAAATAATGTGCTTGATTTGGTTCATAGTGGTGAGATATTTATCTTCTTCCATCTAGAACAAGGAGAATTCCACTGTAATGATATTCTATTCCATTTTTCTTTCCCTCTTCTTTGTCATTTGTCCCATTAATCTACCATGTAATAAATTTGTATTTATGGAATCTCAACGTTTTATTGGTTTGAAGAATAGTAGGTTAAGAATCTTCCTCTTGTTGTTTTTCTAGTTGACAAGGAATAAAGGGATATAAGTTTAAAAAGATCTTTAAAAGGTTCTCAAGAATACCGTTAATTATATATTTTCTTTCACTGAAATATCTCTCATTAACAATAAATTATTTATATACTTTGTTTGCGTTAGTTTTCAAGAATCAAGATGCTTACTAACTAGAGATTTATATTAAAAGTTACGAAAAAAATTATTTTTATTGCGATTTTTCAATTTAAATCTTTTGTGCGGTACACATGCTTATTAACTTTATATATGTGCTACATTCAAAATGATTAATTTTGCACTTATTCATTGTAAACCAACTACTAAAAGACAATGATACATATACACTGTAAAGTTACACATCCTATTACACATTGATGAAAATCATTAATATATAACAGAAACAATCAGTTTTAACGACATAAATAACAGAAATCATTAGTTTTAATGGCACAAGTAATGAAAAGTTTAACACAACTAACAAAAACTGTTACTGTGTAACAAAGTGTATATTTTTATAAGATGTACAAATCATTTTCCACTAATAAATGACAAACATGATGTTTCATTATTGAGTTGTTAACTTCATTTTTAGAAAATACAACCAAAACTCTTAATCATATATAAGTAATGAAAATGATTAGATGGATCTTCTAAGAATTTTTCTTATCCTAAGAAAATGACTTCGGGGTGTGTTGATTTATTCCTTTGACTTTTCTTATTAGCTTTAACAAATTCAATCTTATTGTACAATATAAACTCATAATCTTACTAGACAGTAATTGCAATGGACTCTTTTACTTCAGTAGCTTTAAGAGAGTAAATACCTCACTCAAAGAATCTCAAACAAGCTATATTATATAAAATGTTACCCTATATATTAATTAAAGTATGTATTTAATAAATCTAATAAAAAAATAAAAGTACATGAGGTGAAAAAATTAAAAATGATAAAAATAAATGATAAATGAAAGTGATAGACGAAGAGGCAACATTAATTTATTAAGTTAACAAAAAAATTGAAAATAATAATAACAAATGATGAATGAAAGTGGTACATGAAGATGTGACATTATTTTACTAACTTAACAAAAAAAAAAAAAAATGAAGAGTCAAGTGTAATAGATGTAAAGTTTTGTGAAAGATTTTTTATATTTATTCATCGTGAGTGACAGATACAATATATAAAAGTCTGGATGTGAAGCAGTTACATAGTTTGCAAATAAAAGGAGAAAATCAAGGAAAGCTAATCCTTATCTTTATCTAAACAGAAAATCAAAACAGCAAAACAAACTACTTTCAAAATTCAAATCTGTTGCATAAAAAATTTGCTCCAGAATCTTTTGTTTCAAAAACTGTTGCAGTTGCAAAATTAAGACTCCCCCTCAAGTTGGAGCCTGAATGGAGTAAAGGCCCAACTTGCCTTGTAAAAAATGAAAGCGGTTTGTACCAAGAGGCTTAGTGAAGAAATCTGCCAATTGTTGAAGTGAAGAAACATACCCAGTAGATAGAAGACCCGCTTGTAATTTTTCACGAACTAGATGACAATCTATCTCAATATGCTTGGTGCGCTCATGAAAAACAGGATTAGCTGCAATATGAAGAGTAGCTTGGTTATCACAGAAAAGCAAGGAAGGCTGAGGATGTGAAATACCCAAAACATGAAGTAAGGATCGAAGCCAAGTAAGTTCACAAGTAACAGACGCCATGGCTCGATACTCTGCTTCGGTAGAAGAACGAGAGACAACATGCTGCTTTTTGGTACGCCAGGAAATAAGACTGCCACCAAGAAAAACACAATAATGAGTAGTAGACCGTCTTGTTATGGGACAAGAAGCCCAATCTGAGTCACAGTATGCTGTGAGTTGAAGAGTTCCAGAGGCTGGTAAGAGAAGACCATGACCAGGTGTGGACTTGAGATAACGCAAAACTTGAATGGCGACATCCAGGTGAGGCTGCCGTGGTTCATGCATGAACTGACTAAGAAGATTAACAGCATATGTGATATATGGCCGTGTGATGGTGAGATATAAAAGTCGACCAACGAGCCGACGATAAAGTGATGGATCAGACAACAACTCACCAGAAGATGTATCAAGCTTGATATTTTGATCCGTGGGAAATGCACAAGGTTTGCAACCCATGTAACCGGAATCACGAAGAATGTCTAAAATATATTTCCTCTGATTGAGAAAAATGCCTTTGGATGATCTTGCAACTTCAATGCCCAAAAAATATTTAAGGATACCAAGATCTTTCATATGGAATCTGCTGTGCAAGAATGACTTAAGAGAGGAAATAGTAGCAACATCATTCCCTGTAACTATGATATCATCAACATATACAAGGACAAACATTTTAATAGCACCATTAATCCGAGTAAAAAGTGAAGGGTCCACAAGAGAACTCAAGAAACCCACCTCCAGTAACGCACTAGAAAGTTTAGCAAACCAATTGCGAGAGGCCTGCTTTAGACCATATAATGATTTCTGCAATTTACAAACACGATTCTCCCCCTGACGAGAAAAACCAGGAGGTATGAAAATATATACTTCTTCATGTAAGTCACCATGTAAGAAAGCATTTTGAACATCCAACTGATGCAAAGACCAATTTTGATTCGCTGCCACTGCTAACGAACACCTCAAAGTAACCAATTTAGCCACAGGTGCAAATGTTTCATGATAATCAAGACCTTCTTGCTGAGTAAAACCTTTGGCAACAAGACAAGCTTTATACCGCTTGATTGTACCATCAGTTTTATATTTAATTTTGTAGACCCATTTATAACCAATGGGAACTTTACCTTCTGGTAACTCAGTTAGAATCCAAGTTTGATTATCCTCAAGAGCTTTAATCTCTGTTTCCATTGCTTGTCTCCAATTTTCATCCTTAATAGCTTGAGAATAATTAGAAGGCTCATGCATACTCGAAATAGAAGCAAGGAAAGCATAATGATTTGGTGATAAATTTTTTGCAGATAAAAAAGAACTAATAGGATATGGTGTACCTGACTTGGAGTCCAATTGAGTAGTAGCGAGCGAGCATTGATAATCGGAGAAGTATCGAGGACATATACGAGTTCTAGTGGAATGCCTTAAAGGTTGGGCAGGATGTAAATTTGGTGATGAGGATGACACATTTGTGGGTAATGCATGTGTAGGAGAAATAGGTGAGGACGGTGATGGACTTACAAGTGACAAATTATGGGTGATGGTGTGGATGATAATATATTATTAGTAGGAGACTCCATAGGTAGAGAGCTACATTCATTATCATTGATTGGAATAGGTAAAACCACATGATTATTTTCTGTAGTAAGAGCTGTTTAAAAGGAAAAAAGGTCTCATGAAAGACAACATCTCAACTTATAAAGACAACTTTTGTATCCAAATCATAAAGTTTGTAACCCTTTTGTCTAAAAGGATAACCAAGAAAAATGCACTTACGAGCACGGGCATCAAATTTATTTGGATGATGATGATTATATGCAAAACATAAACAACCAAAGACTCGTAAATGACTGTAGTTAGGCTTGACATTATGCAGAACTTCAAAAAGAGTACGATTACCAAGCAAAGGACTAGGCATGCGATTGATCAAATAAGTAGCAGTCAAGATTCACTAACCCCAAAATTTTAAAGGAAGGTTGGATTGGAATCTTAATGCCCGTGCAACTTCAAGCAAATGCCTATGTTTTCGCTCCACTACACCATTTTGTTGGCGGGTATAAACACAACTAGTTTGATGAAGAATTCCATGAGTAGAAAGGTATGACTGTAGATCAGAATTTAAGAATTCAAGGGCATTATCACTGCGAATTTTCTTAATATTGACACTAAATTGTGTATTGACCATAGCAACAAATTGTTTCAAAAAAAATGCTACTTCAGATTTATATCGCATGAGATAAACCCAAGTACAACGTGAAAAATCATCTACAATGGTCAAGAAATATTTAGCTCCTGACAATGAATTAAGAGAAAAAGGTCCCCAAACATCCACATGAATTAATGCAAAGGAATATTAGTAGAAATACTACTAGAAGGAAATGGCAAACGATGTTGTTTAGCCAAAGGACAAACCTCACACAAACAATTTTCATTAATAACAATTTCTTTATTGAATTGAGAAAGAAAATTCAATCTCTGATGGGACAAATGTCCTAAACAAAAATGCCAAATATCAAAGGTAGAAGGAATTTGAACATTTAAGGCAAAAGAATTTGACTGGAATAGATACAACTCCCCTTCACGCTTCGCCACTCCAATCGTCATCCAAGTTGATAGGTCCTGAAAATAACAGAGACTTGGTGTGAATATGGCAATACAATTAAGTGTAGATAGAAGGGCGCTAACAGAGAGAAGATTGTGCTTGAAGGATGGCACACAAAAAACATTTTTAAGAGTAAAGGATGTAGACAAATTAACATCACCAATGTGTAATAGATGCAGACTCACCTGTAGGTAGAGTCACAGGAGAAAGATAAGGTGTAGATATAGGATTTGAAAGGTTATTAACAGAACAAGTCATATGGTTTGTGGCTCCTGTATCAATAATCCATGTGTGAGAATCAAAAAAATGCTTACCAGCCAAATTAGCTGCAAAGTTGGCAGAAGCTGAAGTAGATGAATTCCCTAGCTGTAAAGTATTAGAATTAGATCCAAGCAATGAAACCAGTTGATTATATTGCTCTAGAGTGAGTGGTGGTGCTATTGTAGGAGAATCAACAAGCGGAGTAGCCTGAACATGATTAGCACGCGGAGTGCTAGGGAATCCATGTAGAACATAGCAGCGGTCTTTTGTATGTCCCAATTTTTGACAATGATCACAATATGGCCTACCTCTCTTGGGCTTAGAATTATAATTGGTACGTTGACCATTTGAAGATGGATTATCACGCACCTTTTGTGAGTAAAAAGTAGATGCAGCAAAATTGCCATTTTGTGACGATTTAGAAAGAATGTCACGTTGTTTTTCTTCTCGTAACATCAGAGAATAAGCCTTGTTAACTGCTGGAAGAGGATCCTTTAATAGGATTTGTGACCTAACAGA